TCCTGGATTCCACTGCTAGCCGCTATCCATCTTTGCTTATAGTGCTTGTAAATTAAGGCGATATCGAGGCAATACACGTAGTATGCACATATGCCTTGAAAACTTTCCAGATGATCTGAGTCAGTTTTTTTAGATCCTATTTTAAGACAGTTTGATCCACCAATTACCGAGTTAATTTATGGCAAGTTCAAATAGCAAGAACTTCTAAGTTTATGACACACTTCGACTTGATTAAAATCACATAAAATTGACTCCTTTTATGGATTTTAGTAAAAAAATCAACAATTAATTGAAGTTAGACTGGTACAGTCTGACACAGTGGTCTACAAGTTAAACATTCGCTCACTAGACCGAAGATCCTGAGTTCAACTCCTGGTCGCATGATCGTGGATGTGTACTACTAAGGAGTCCCATACTATGACGAAACGGCTGTTTAGTATTTCCAGGTTTCGAATGGTTTTCTAACTTCGATCATTTCATGATCTCAATAATATCTAAGTCTAGTTTGTTTTTCTTACTATATTGACAGGTAGGATCGATATGTTCGAAAAGTAATTAATTGACATTCAACATATAAGTATCCTATAATTCTAACTTTATTTATCATAAATTTCCACTTTGATAAATCGCTTTTTCCAATCTAATTTAATTTATAACGAATAAATAGCAAGTAATAACTTCTCTTTGTAAACGTTTTCGTAAAGGAAAAACACCCAGTCTAGAAATTTTGACTAGAATTAACTATTAGTGAAATGCATATCATTATTCCAGTACTGTTATTAATTCAGTAGTCATAATAATAACACACATATCTTTAATATCGGTAATATCTATCATCTATTTTGAACGTCTAGACACAGTGACCCCGCAATTCTAATCTTCTTTTTAAATCCATCTCCCAAAGGATATTGATTTGAGTATAATATTTTACTTCTCGTAGCTCACTGCAATTCTATTGTCGGTCATTCCAATCGGCCTATAAGTAACTAGTGTTCGAGAGAAAGGAAAAAAAGAGACTGATTAGTTTCAGTTAGATTAATTCAAGCATGAAATTATTGTGAATGAACTATGTTTTCGGTTTGCTATTTATTAAATTATTGTTTTAGTTACTTGTGTGTTAGGTATACGTATATTATATTTGTGTATGAGTATATGCATGATTGGCAGTCATTGGTTGAATGTTTTTCTAATCTATGACACGTAATAAACGATTAAAATTTCTGACTCAAACATTGAATTATACTTTAATAATCCAAAGTTAGTTAGTCATAGTAGATAAGGTTATAAGACATGTGTGCATAGGTTCAAGTGGACACACCATCCCGGCATATCTATGAGTTATCAAGACAAAATACCAATTTAGCAAATAATAGACTTGACACGTGACAATGGTACGAAGTTTGAGATGAATTTTACTAGAAGTTTCATGATCTTCAAGAAGCCAGGTACTTAGACTCAATAATCACAGTAGGTCATTTTAACTCTCAAGTTAGTATGTCAAGTCAGGGTGAAAAACACTAACGTATATCTTTTAATATTCCAGTCCAATGAATCGATAACGGTGACCGCTTGATGTAATTATGCTCAGATAACAGCTTTTTTCCTAGCAAATACAAACTTTAGGAAATACTTCTTACCTAGAGACCTCCAACAAGAACTTAATGATATATCTTGTTACCATCAACTATCGTTGGAATGACTCGATAGAAGACTGCTACTCCTTCTGAGGCACATACTTAGGCTCAGTTCATACCCAAAAGACAGTACTCGGTTTTAAGCGCTTCATTGGACGTAGAAAAGTCATAACAGAAAGAATCTCAAACACTAATTTGAAAATGAAAAGGTTATGGACGAATCTGAGGATGAGTTAACTAAGTACCTAGTTGACTATGGTGAAAAAGTTAATCTTAAAGAAACCTGGCATGATATCCAAATAGTGGTAAATGTAGAATTGATATTTGACGAAAAATTAAATTTAAAAAGGTAAGAATGATCAGTGGAACTCAGTGGGATCGAATGATTTTATAGATTCTCGAAAGCTTATCTTAGTAGGGCTTGGAGTACAGTGTGAAAGAGTGGAAACTCAAACATGAACTAATGAAAAGTTTATGCAACGATCGCGAGCAGTGGTGGGCAGCTAAAGCAAAGTAGATGGATGGACCAACGGAAATACGTAATGCTAGGCACTTATTTAGACTCATCAAAGGTCGTATCCAATAGGTAACATAAATTACATTAATTCGAGGAATACAGTTTAAACTTGTGTGTGACCTACAGATGAATATTAATTGATCAATGATACATAAATCTATTTTACAAAGTGAGCATAAGTGTACTATTTCGGCCAACTCTTTTCACAAAACAGTTATCAAATTTCCTTCAATATTTTTGACTAGAAACAAGCGAAACATTTTTAAAGTAGATGTGAAGTCTGTAAGATCTTATCATTTAATTAGATTTGAATCCATAGTTTGTCAATATGAGGAAGTGATTCTCTTTAAATAGATTATTGCTTTGTTTTATGATAGACTAAACGTAAGGCATCGACTAGAGTTGGTACTTTCAAAAATTTGTCATTGTGGATTCAACAATGTTATTCGTTGAACGATATTGTATATTTGTTTCATTTTGTTTTGAATCTCTTCAAAGTCGTACACCTTCGAATTTTGTTTAGGGGGGGGGGACAGTAATTCCACACATTAGAGCGTATTACTCTCAAAATCTAACGAATAGTTCATTTCATTAACTTTTCAGTTAAGATAAGACTCTGAATTTAACTAATATTTTTATTAAATATAGAGCAACCTTAAATAACAAATTTAACTCATATTCATATAATGGTTGGTAAGTGAAGTGTATTCAGAATCTAATTATTTTTAGAATTATTAGAATGAGTTTGTGAAGATTTCAGTGATTTTAATGGTTGAATTCATGAGTCTATGTAAGCTAGATCACCATGGAAAACCTGGAAGCACTGGTCGACCGTTTCGTCCTAGTATGGGACTCCTTGGCAGTGCGCAGGTACCTACTTCTGACAGCGGATGAATGGTTGTTCAAGATCATGGATCGATTAAAGTGAGACATTAACACTGTTGGATGCTGGCTCAATAGTCTGGAGGTTAGGCGTTCGCACGCGAGACCGAAGGTCCTGGCTTCACGTCCCGCATGTGGGATCGTGGATACACACTGCTGAGGAGTCGCGTGTTGAGACGAAACGGTAGCCAAGTACTTTTAGGTTTTTAATGGTGGCCTAGCTTACATCGACTCATGAATTCAACTATTTCAAGAATTGGAATTTTGGAATTTTCGCATCTGTTAACATGTGAATATGTTCATCCACTTTAATATTTTGTAATTCTTCCGTACGTGTTGTGGTTATTTCATTAATGTTCATAAAATATGATATGAAGTATGTATATTAATTGTAAATAATTACTTTTGTTTCTAGGTTGTAAACAGATTATGAGAAACCTACGAAATAAATGAACTTATCTTATTTTGCTACGCTTGTCATTCAAAGTTAAAGTTTTACTGATTCAGGTTATCGTTCATACCTAATCATTATACGAGAATGACGTTTTTCTTTTAAATGAAATTTTGGCGAGACTATAATTTATGAATGGACCAATCAGATTTATGATAACAGGTCTTGAATTTTGGCGCAAAATTCACTCATCCATTTTGCTAAATAGAGTCTTGGCATTATAGCTGATGTCAGTTCGTGATGAAAACCTTAAATATAATTCCCAACATTAACTATCAGCTGTAAATCATAATTCGAATTCCTCACACTAATTTATAACCCTCATTTGGTCCTAGTTATCAGGTGGACAATCTCAAGGTCAGTCTAGCGTCGCTCAAAGGTTGTCCATAAATTATAGTCTCACCGAAATTTTCAATTGAAAACAAGAGGATTTCATACAGTTTGCAAATCGTAGGTTAGGCGTCGTGTGGAAGTTAGGCATGAATTTTGTTAAGGAGTTTCAGAATGTGATTATGTGTAGTAAACTGTTCTCAATTTAACCACAATTCAATAAAACTTCTTAATAGTATTATAGAAAGTTTCTCGTGATTACTGAATTTATGGTTTATACTACTCACTAAAGATTTTTAGTTCGACCCCTGAGGAGACATTGGATGATGAGCCGTACCATATTAGGACGAAATACCTGTTCAGTACTTATTAAGTGTTAGTGATTTTCTAACTAAAGTCAATCACTGATGTAAATCACAGGAAAAATTTGACCTTAGATCATATAGTTTTTTGAGCCTCCATACGTCTATGGCCACAGAAATAATAGTCAAGTATTGATTAACAACTTTTATTACAACTATGTATCTTCGGAATTGATTGAAAATCAATCTAATCTACTTGCACAACAGTCAGAAGAAAACTAGGGGGTATCAGACACTGACGTCAAAACTGTTTATGTTATGGACACACTACTAGTCATACTGGATTATTTTACGTGTCCGTGACACGATTAGATTAGTAATACTGTTAACCAGAAAAAAAAGACAAAAATTATGTTTGTGTGTTAAATGTTTTGTGTATACATGTATCAATGATAAAGAGAGAAAGATAGAAAAATAACAGTTTGCCATGTTCGGTGCTAATGCTCCGCCTTTCCCGTGTTCGCTACACTTTATGTAAGCATGTTTATACACCAAAGGGGGTGGATGAGGCTTTCTGTAAGAAGATGGATTACTAACAGACACGTGCTTGTATATTTATATATTACCATACAAGTTTCTGAAAGCAATGTGCGTTTGCTATATGAAGTAGATTTTCTAGTCTTCAAGCTAAATTGTTCTCTCTCTCGCTCACACACACTCTCGTTCTAGCTGTATCTTTCGGCCAATAGACAGGTCAGCACATGTGATTCTCACACTCTTATTTGTCTACACGTCATAGTCATTTTTTGGCTGACCAATCCTTTCCACGTGGCTGGTAAAAATTTTATATTGCGTGAAGAATGCGTCAGACTGGTTTATTTTTTGAAATCGATCAAAACGAAAGGGAGACGCGTACAGTGTGCATATAGCATGATGGAAACTTTGATATTAACTACGGCAATATCATTGTCATTGATGCTGACCTGTTGTTGTACGTAATACTTACTACGTACTCATTCTATGAATGAAAAATTATAGAAATTATTTTGGAACAAGACAGGCTTAAGAACTTTCCAGTTTCGTTGATAAACCTAAATTGCATTCAATTTAATTCTAAATAAAAGTATCTAGAAAAATATATTTGAGGAAATGAGTGTAGATACAACACATTTTGGTAAGTCGGCTACTTTTTATATACATATATCTTTTGGTTACTGTTACTATATATGAAATGTTTATCCTTAAATATTTCTAAAATTATGAAAAGAATTCGTAGCTCAAGTGAATGCTTTTAGTGGTGTTGAATCCTCTGAGCTAGATAGTTGAATTGAGGACTATTATTAGGTTGCTAATAATATATGCAGACAACCATGGACACGAATTTGATTGATGAAATGTCGAAATGTTAGGTCAAGAAAACTCCAAGAATGTCAGATAATTTTTAGAAGCATGGAGTTCAAATAAGTTAACAATCAGTAGAGGCATTAACATAGACCCAATCTATGAACCGATATGGGATATCTCAACCAATCACAAGGCCCGTGATCAACCAACATGGATTTAGGGTGAATGTCAAGGGAAACGAAGACAATCAAGCCTACGAAGACGGCCAATTATAAACAACACCGAAATGAACTGATATAACACTTGTTGATTAATTAGGAAGATCACTTCAACAGGAAGTAGGCTTTGAAGATGTTATATAGAATATCAATAAAAGCCCCTCAATTATATCATCCAGTTCAAAGAACTCAACAACCTCAAAAATTTGTTCTCGTAGGATTTTTACTAGTTCATATTTCCAATCACTTTTACAATCTACACACCAACTACATTTTTTTCAAAAATCACCTTGAGTCTACCAAGTTATTTGATAAGCGTATACATCATTAAGTAGACATTTTAAAACATCCTATTTAGAATAAAAGTAATATAGAGGTCGATTTTTGTATTAAACATTCTAACATCCTAAAGAAATCGGTTACTGTATTATGTAGAAGGAATGCTTAGAGTTATGAAAGTCTCTAGTGTTATGATCCAAACTACTTTCAATGTTTCAGAAACATCTTTAACCTAAGTCTGATTGATTCCATTGTACTTGGTTAATGCTTCTTTTCATCTTATTTTTTAAGTTACTTCAATTTTAGGCAACGAATTTATTGGATGTGAATAGTGTTTTTATCTAAAAAATCATTGCTACTGAAACTCCAGTTAATCTCATAATATTCAAATTTTGAATTGAAATGGATAACTGTAGAAATTTCGGGGTTGGGAATGGTTAACAGGTTAAAGATCAGACACTATTTAAGGAAGTTTGGACTAAACTCAATAGAAAACTGTACAAGACTGGCGGCAAGTTACATTTGCCATGCTAAATCTTACGATGGTTATTCAGGTGAAATACATTTGACCCGATGACTGGTTCAAATGCCTAGACTTCTAAGCTACTGTCACTCTGTAGTATACTTTATATGCATTATTATGTTGGAAATCAGCAATCTCATCAGTGATATACCAATCATTGTACGTAAACAATCTTTGATTATCGATGTCTTCGAAGTGTTGCCTAGTATCATGGAATGATTGATCCAGCAATTCTAAGTTTAGGGGTAGGGTGTTAATGAAATATGGAAAATCGATTGATGTGATAGTTATTTTCCATCGAGTTAGGTAGTTGGGACATATATTGTGTACACCTAGCCATCCCATGCCTCGACACAATGTTTTCCAGTGTAGGACTAGGTTGAGAAGAGGACAGAGGCTGACAAAGCATTGACTGCTTGATTGAGCTATGTTGGTTAGGGTGCACTTGATTAGTATAACTAAAGATTAGTGACCTTCAGTGATTTTGCTCAGAATCGGGTGTAATGGCGCAGATACATTCACTCTTCAACTTCTCTTTGTCATGTACTTTTTATTCCGCACATTCATTCTCGAATCATAATATCTATCCCTCTGTCTCCTACTGCTGATATCGTTATTGCGTTTTCTAAACAGGTGTTTGTTTTAATAAATTTCATTTCTCTTTGCTGATATGGTGTAACAACTTGAACTGATGCAGATATATAACAGGTTCTATGTTCCTTATAACTAGTTTACTATATCCGAAACTATTTCCCATATTTTGATTGACTGCGTTACTCGATCATTCTGTGTTTAGTACGTTTGACTCATGTCGTAGAGAATATTAGTGTGATTGGTTAGAATGTGTAGGGATAATGAGATGATGGAGAAGATTTGTAGCTCAGGTGGATGGTTTTGATGGAGTTTTGTTCTCTGAGCTGGATGGTTTGGTCGTGGAGCTCTAGTTGTTCTTCTGAACGAAATCGTCAGCACAAACTTCAAGTAGAAGTGAAGTGTTCGAATTTCTCCACATATGGTTCACAACTTGTTCTGTAGACCTTGACGTTGATTGGTTCTTGTTGACCTTAAGGATAATCATTGTTTTTAATAATTTAATAAACGTGAAGTATGTAGCATTTTCAAGTATTTTTCCTTTTATTTAGCGGATGTTTGTTGCATATTAAGAGGGACATCTAAAGCTATCTAAATACTCCTTCTGGGAGCATACCACCGTACAACATCCCAACTTAACTAGTGAAAAAGTAAATGAAGTGAAACTTAGAGCTACAAATGGAATCCTCAGTGAAAATTATGATCTTAGACAACACACCCACTAAATGAACTGAGGATTACCAGGAAACGCTTTATACAACAAATTAAATACTGACAAATGGATGCTCCACAAATTCATGGACATGTATCCTATTTCGTTAGAACTAGTTTAATGTTATTAGAACTTTGTGAAATGTCGAGTGAAGTTTCATTCCTTTCTTAAGTATCACAAATCAGATTGTTTTAATATCCTGAATAATGTGGCTAAAGATAGATCATACTGAAATTGATACATTCATTGTTTACCTTGATTCCTTTATACCAATCTTCTGTTTATTTGTATTCTCATTGTTTATTTTAATATATCTCCTTTTTGTTATTGTTCCACTTTGAAGTGTGATATGTTAACCCAGTATATTTTTGTACTGAGGTAGTTTTCCTCATTATTATATATATTTTTGTTTGTATAGTTTAGTCCTACATATTGTATATTTAGAACTTAAGACAACTGTACAAAGTGTGAGTATGCAGTGAAATTTTCTTTTAAATATGGAGAAATCATTATTTTTAAAACTCTACAGTCTTCAAGTAAAGTTAATTCATTTCGATTCGATAGGGTTATCTTTCTATTCAGTTAGTTATTAGTCATTGGATTAATTGACAATATCATACTGTCTGATTGTTATATTGCTTTATTCAAAGCCAGTTCTAAACTTTCCTTCTTATAACTAAACTGTTTATATATTCTCAGAATGGGTTTTGTGGAGAGTTTTAGAAATTTCACAGGTTGAAATCATGAGTCGATTGAAGCTAGTCTCGTGTGCTGTTACGGGTATGAGGGCTGATGTCACTTCCCGGCTGCCCACACCGTGGAAGGGTATTTCTTGAGGAACCTGAAAAGGAAATTGGATTAGTGTTGGTATTAACGACCTGGGAGCGTGACCGCAGAGCCCAAGGAACAACTGCTTGAGGCCGGTCGCGCACGGCCTTTCTGTGGAAGGTTTTTGACGTGTTAGCTCCGTTCTTCAAAGGGCCTTACCGCCGGAGACGGAAGTCCGTGAGGTAAGGTGAGGTGTGCATTTTTAGGGTCGACCTTTTCTAACCCCACCCCTCCTTGTGGGAAGGCAGCATCGCTGTCATGCTGGTTGTCTGAAGGAAACACCTTACTGCTGTCACACCTCTCTACAGTCAGCAGTACGACTTCGCCCTCAGACCTTGAGTTGCTGCTTTTAGTCTTACCGTTCACCAATCGACCTGCCTGGCATGGTAGAACCTACAGGAACATATGTTCCAGCCAATATAGCTCGGTTGGGTCATCACGATAGGCAAGCCCGACCACCGCGTCAAGGTAGCAGCTTCGGTCGGGCGATTGAAGCTAGACTTGAAATCATATTTAGACTTGTTTGTATTTGGATAGAAATTCAGTATCACTAAAATTTATCAAAAGTATAATAGTGAACAAATTCTATTACTCAAGTTTTTAAATATAACCATTATGATGATGTTATAAATATAAAAAATGAGTTATTAAGCGGTTTGGTTTAAATCCATGTACTTTAGAAATGTGTAGACGGAGTTATTAACTGCCATGTCAATGAAGTAAAACTCGAAATATTTTGTATTGATTAACGCCAAATAGAATTTACAATTATTTTTCGTATATTGTTAATCATTTACTAAGTAGAGATTTATGTATTCGGTCTTACAACACTTCATATGAGGGCTCCTGAGATAACCTTGGTGTTATGTGATTTGAACACCAGATTTACTGGACAGTAATTAAAACTGTGTATGAATACAATAATGTATTGGATTGTTTGAAGTTGGCACCATGAAATCACAAAGCGAGACTTCCTTTTCGCTATGATTCGCCAACAGACTATTACATACACTTTAAACTGCAAGGGAGTAAACCAGATTCGTAACATTCTTATCTATATTTCTAGGTTAAAGTTTTGCATAACATTTTCTTAGAGATTTAAGAACCTTATAATGACTAATACTACTCAGGATTGATCATAGGACCAAACTATTACCGGAGGTCAGTTTACCCAACATTGAATTGTTGTTTGACCTACATTATATATCTTCAACTTTAAATTTTAATCAGTTATGAGCAAAAGAGGGTTAGACAACATTTTATGAGTTATCTATCATTTATTTTGTGGAGTCGTTTGCTAGGAATTTAAATACATAACCATCATTTATTTGTGTATGGGTCAGTTATTACCTGACTTACTTTGATTTGATTATCCGGAAAGCATCTATCCGGTCTGAATAGAACTGAATGTAACTCAAAACCATGTAAACTAATACATGCTTGGCAAGCTAAGTTGAACGATTTCACAACCTATCTACGGAAATACGATTCGCTAGTATTGTAGTAAACGAAGACTTGGTGAGGATAACCAATTTAATAAATGGCGCAAAATTACCGAGTTTTTTGGTAAAATGTGAAAACCATACATTAAATACTTCATTTGCAAATCTTTTATCGATTGTCTTTTATATCTTTCATGATTTTTCTAATTCTCAATACCTTTCTGTTTTCTTCAGTTC